TCAATTGAATTTCAATAAAGTTAAAGGCATGGCCTCATCGTTAATATTTAAAAAAAAAAAAAAAAAAAAAAAAAAAAATGAACAATATTCACAAAACTTAATTGCCAATTCTTTTTGATATTGAAAAAGTTTAAGACATAATGTGTATCAGGTTAATTTATATGAAATTGTTGAATTTGAATTATAAACTTTAAATTTAATTGACCAATATATTGTAGTGCATTTAAATTATAAAGAGATTTAGGCCAAAATTGTAATTAAACTCATTGATTACTTAAAATTGGCATTTTAGAAGGACACAATGCAGTAACTTGTTGTACAAATTTATTAACAAATATTGCTCTAGCTAAATAAATTACTAAACTGTGTCTATGATCATCAATAACAAGTAATAAGTTTGCAGTACTAGTAAGAAAATCTTGTACAACTTTCCAAAATGTTTCATAACATGTTGGTGCATCAGGATTATGTTCTCATAAATCAGTAATAATTTTTGGATCACCAAGCTGTAATGCTAATTTAATCTTGTTATCTACTTCTCTTTCATTATAATTTTCAGCTGCAGCAAAATCACCAGTTAAGTTACAGTATAACAAATGCAATGCCATTAGTTTAACTGAATTAAATAAAGTTTTACATTTAGATTGTTAAAGTTTGTGCATTATGCATGTATGATAAATATATATATCATTTTTTAATAATTTTGTTATTTTAAAATTATATAATATTATTTCTAAATCAGATGCAATTAAAGGTATATGTCATAAGTATATTACTAAAGAACTATGATTACTATTATGTATATATTGTGACAACTTAAAAGGAAATCCTTTATCTAATTCTTTAATATATCGATGTTTTGATCTATAAATAAACTTAGTTAAAAATATATAGGTAAAATATTTTTATATAAAATTACAATTAATATACTGTTACAGATTTATTTGAAAGAAATGATTCAATATTTACTGATTTCTAAAAATCAGTTTGTTCAAGAAAGTTTACTAAAAATTAATAATAAGTAATAATATGAGATTTTCTATCTAAATTAGATTGCAAGATAGTAAGAAAACTATTATTTTTTTTAACTGGCTCAAAAGAAAGATGATTTTGAGTTGTAGTTGTTAGCTGTTTTTGCAAAATTTTCATATATTGAGATAAATTTATAGCTAATGTTTCTAATAAATTAACAAGCTAATGAAATACAGTCTTTTTAATCTATATTAATTTTGTATATTTAAATAAAATATTTGAATGATATGCAAATGTAGTTGTGTCAAATTGTTCTCTCTTTTTTTTTAAATAAACAATATTATAATATCTAGTAAACTGCTCTATTTTAACAAAAATGCTATAACTTCAAGTTTTCAACTTTTCAGAATCACATTTATCTATATATCATAATACAGCAGCTAAGTCTTTACCAAATTGTTTTCCAGTTGTTATAGCAGTACCTTTGCTTTATCCATTATTATTTTTATAAATCCATTTAACAATATCATATTATAATTTTTTAAGTGCATTCAAATGTTTTAAAATACT